AAAAAAAAACAACCCAAAAAAATAAAAAAAAAAGAAAGGGAGAAAGGCAATTTTAAAAATACATTTTGGCTTTAGTTTGTGAATGTTGTGTGCAAGTGACAAACAATCTTTTCTTTTTTTCTGAGAGACAGTGTCTCACTGTTGCCCAGGCTGGTCTCAAACTCCTGGCCTCGAGTGATCCTCCTGCCTCAGCCTCCTGAGTAGCTAAGATTACAGGCATGAGCAATCATCTTTATCTTAGTAGAAAACTTTTAGAATGCCCCAGCAATGGCTATATCTAAAATAAACAGGTATTTGCCCTCCATAAATCAAATAGATGTGGCCAAATCAATATATCCCTTGCCTATACAATTATATCGAACACATCCCTATATAGTTACATATCAAATATTGAATATTCAGCTAATGATCAAAAAAGATGAACACAGTCACAAATATCCCCTTCCTTCATATTCAGCCTTCAACCAAAAGTCTTTCTAAGGCAGCATATAACAAAGCTAATAACAAATTGACGAATTAAAGGGGCATACTAGGAAAAATGGAGAAATAATGCCATTTGCTCTGAAAAATACTTCATTTTTATCTTAAGAATCAGATATGTTTAATATCTGCATATAACTTAATACGCATTTTATCCATTACATTTTTAAAGTATAATCTAAGGCTTTAAAAGGTATCTTTTTTTTTATAGTAATTCAAAATTACAGAAGATGCCTTTCCTATAATTGAAGTTATTGATCAATTGAAGGTATAACCAGACTGAAATATACAGCAGCTTCTTGAAGAATGGCAGAAATAAAGTGAAAGTTCTAAATTCTTCTCTGAATTTTTCAGCTATTGCTAATGGAAGGTGCTGCCAATATAATAGGTAACACAGTTTTGTCTAACACTGGTCCAAGTAATCATCATATCTTATTTATTTTTATTTTTATTTTTTTTGAGACGGAGTCTCGCTGTGTCACCCAGGCTGGAGTGCAGTGGCACGATCTTGGCTCACTGCAAGTTCCGCTTCCTGGGTCCACACCGTTCTCCTGCCTCAGCCTCCCGAGTAGCTGGGACTACAGGCACCTACCACCATGCCCGGCTAATTTTTTTGTATTTTCAGTAGAGATGGGGTTTCACTGTGTTAGCCAGGATGGTCTCGATCTCCTGACCTCGTGATCTGCCGTGCCCGGCCCTTATTTCTTAAGAATAGAAAACTGTAGAAGTTTGCATAGTAGATCATCTGGTTAGACCTCAGTCCTATGGTGAGAAAATTCTCTATAAAAGCTACATGGCCCATGATGTCATCCACCACCACATAAGCATATAAAATACATGATAAGGCTCTCCAGGAAAAAACATTCACAAGAAATAATGACTTCTTTCATCAGCTTAAAAGTGGGAAGAACTTATTTGATTAAAACCCTCTTTAAAATCGATTGTCTTGTTAGACTTCCCCTACCCATAATGAAATCATTACAGGGTTCTAATGTCAGGTGGAGAAGTGTTGACTGTGGAGTTGTTTAGCCTCTGATTCTAGGATAAACCAAACAGTTAAATAATTCCCAAAAGTACAAAACAGACATTCCCCTCAAGTTACCCGGGCTTCTACAGGTACTTTTCAAGTGACCTACAAGCCCTATATTTTAAACAGCCACAGAAGTCAGAACCAAATTCAGGTTTCCAGCAAACACTGTAAACTGCAGTTCCCTGTGGCAGCCTGTCAGGTGGTCAGGCAGTCTGAAGGACTCTGGGTTCCTCTGCAATTGCTGTCATGACCACGAGCCTCTCACGTTCTACTTGGCTGGCCGTCCAGGTCTGAGGGAGTGAGAGCCAACAACCGCTTACTCAGCAGCGCATTGTGTCGCTTCAGGTATTCAATGGTGTCTCCTTGCTTTTCAACAATTTCTTCTAGGCCTGAAATAGTCCTGCAAATAATCAAGATATAAACGGGTTACACATATTCCCCAATACTCATTAGTGTCTTTGCAAACGAGTACCTATGAGTTTTTAGTAAAGCATATTGTATTTGTTACCTTTTCTTAGATGTCAGAAGCCAGGGCAATATTGCCAAATAAGAATATTTTCCTAAATCATTTTAGTAACTTCTACTCTTGAAATAAATTTAAAATGTTATAAACTTTCACAACTCTACATTTTAAAAAAGGTCATCACTGCTTTATTTAAGAAAGATCCTAATTTGTTAGAGTAAGATAATTGAGTATAAGTGATCAACTTAAATGGCATTTAAAGATAAGTAAAGGCAAAATTCATTCAATAATCAAATGACGATTAAAATAGACAACTCTGATCATGAGAAACAATTTTTTAAATGTATGGCATTTATTTCTTTTTGCATTTCTCCTTTTTTCTCCCATACCACAAACATGTATCTTTTTGCACTTGACACAAATAAAAATACTATTTAAGTATATAAAACAAACAAACAAAAAATCTAACTCCTTCCTACACTACTGCCCCAACCCACTTTGGTCTCACTGCTCAGAAGTAATAGCTATAAAGTGTTTTTAATTTCTTTTCTTTTTCTCTTTTGAGACAGAGTCTCCCTGTCTCCCAGGCTGGAGTGCAGTGGTGCGATTTCAGCTCACTGCAAGCTCCGCCTCCCGGGTTCACGCCATTCTCCTGCCTCAGTCTCCCAAGTAGCTGGGACTACAGGTGCCCGCCACCATGCCCAGCCAATTTTTGGTATTTTTAGTAGAGATGGGGTTTCACCGTGTTAGCCAGGATGGTCTCGATCTCCTGACCTCATGATCCGCCCACCTCGGCCTCCCAAAGTGCTGCGATTACAGGCGTGAGCCACCGTGCCCAGCGAGTGTTTTTAATTTCCTTCCACTAATTTAAGATATTAGTATTAGGAATAGTGATGATGATAATGATAATGACAATAATATGCCAGATAAATTTTAATGTTGACTAAAAATTACCTATTCAAGAAATAAAATGTTATTGGATGTGTTTTACTCAGATATCCTATATGTGCTAAAAGGGAAATATTTCAAGGGATGGTGAGAAATTCAGTATGAAAAATATCACATGGGAATGGTCCCATGTGAACAAAAAAGATTTATTCTTAGAAATAGTTATGCTTATAAATAATGTGGTTACAGGAATGGGCTATGTAACCACGTTACTATTATTATTATTTTCTGAGACACAGTCTAGCTCTGTCATTCAGGCTGGAGTGCAGTGGCATGATCTCCGTTCACTGCAACCTCCGCCTCCTGGGTTTAAGCGATTCTCCTACCTCAGCCTCCTGGGTAGCTGGGATTACCGGCGCCCACCACCACGCCCAGCTAATTTTTGTATACTTAGCAGAGATGGGGTTTCACCATGCTGACCAGGCTGGTCTGAACTGACCTCAGGTGATCCACCCGCCTCAGCCTCACAAAGTGCTGAGACTACAGGCATGAGCCACCACGTCCGGCATAAACTAAATTTTATTGACCCCAAGTTAACTCCATGAGGTGAAGGGAATACATTTTAAAGTTTTCCATTAAGTCATAAGAGGGCAATATTAGGTAAACTCTTCAGTGCTCAGGGAGAACAAGATGAAATATGAAAAGGGTCAAGGTCAGGAAGACCAGTCTCTGAATTTAATAAGCCCAAAAGTTAACAAAGAGATAATCAAGAATTGATACTAAAGTTATTCCTCTATTTAGGATAGAATGAAGAAAAAG